TTTAATAATATAACATTTTATAAAGATAATAATTAAATATTCTGTTAAAATTTAATAATTATTTTAATTATATTTTAAATTTTTTATATTTAAAATAAAATATCTATCATGTATTTGATTATATTTATTTATATTTAATTATATAAATTCATTTATGAAATTTTAATAAGTTATATTTACCCACGATCTAGCATGGATTATCGGGGTCGAAATCTATAAATTGTTGAAACGGATGGTATTTCTGTAGGTGAATTATTTGTTAAATCAAACGGGCAAACGAAATTTGATCAAAGAATTCGGTCATTGCAATTCATCCGAATCTAGCGGGAGTAAATTGGACCTGTGATACCAAGATTTGGGAATTAGGGTTCGAAAGATCCTTTTTTGACCCTTCAACGCTCAACAAACAAATACTACAAGTGTAAAAAGTAACCAACTTTCAAAGATCTTTGAAGGGTTTGGTTGCGTAGATCGTTACACTATGCAGAAGCTATTTTCCCTCAAACATATCTCCAAAAACCCCAGAAAATTTGCTTCACAAACCTTACGATCAAACCCACTTCCCCTCCACCGGGCCACCGATGTGCCCCAACATCACCACCATGGTTTCTCTCGCTACACAACTTCTTCACAGACATTGCACCAGGCACCCACCAACTGTTTGATGAAAGTACTTTCGAACCCAGTTCTTTTAAAGCGGTTTTTGCCTAATGCGCTTTTGAAGTTGAAGTTTCCAAGCAAATTTCTTGTGGATCATGGCGAATTTGGGCTTCTAAGAGCTCAATTTAGAAGACAAAGTTTTCAATTCAATCAACCATTTAGTTATCAAAAAACATGGTAATAATCTCTTTTGTTTTATCCTCAATTACTCCACAATTTGAATCCTTTCTGCYATTTCTTTCTTTCACTCACACAATAACCTTAATCTTGCAAAATGTTGGGAGATGGATTATAGATGCAACGAAGGGAGGATATTTTTTTTATCATTTGAGGACTTGATAAGGGTTTTGAGGCTTTTGTTGGTTCAATTTCGGGAGATGACATTCAAGAATTCTAAGAACACATTTGTTTTGTTAGGTGTCTGCACTTACTTTCTTTTATGGTTTTTAGTTGAATGATTAGAGTTGTGTTCTGCACCATTGATTTGTATCTGCCTCCTTAACCCAAAGTGACACTTTTCTATCATTTTAAGGCAATAGTTTAGCTGTCTTCTGAACAAAAATCAGCATTAGCTAATTGGGGAAATTTTTAGAAAGAAGAGAACAGCCAACGGGTAGAGGCAAGTTATGTGTACATCTTACCCCCAACCCTAACTCTGCTTAGAATCTATTGGATTAATTTGGTTTGGTTTATAGAAAGAAGGGACAAGAAAAGGAAAGAAGGCTAAAAGAAAAACATAGACTTGTGTTATTTGTTTGGCAGTTGGAACTTGGAACAATTCTTCAGATTTTGATGGTACACTTGTTTAACTGGCTGGATGTCTTGTGAGTTACTATAGATACATACGGTAATGCCGTTAGAGAACTGTATATCACTCGATTAATGAACGTCTGCTGATTCCGTTCTGATACTACACACTAAATGAACTAACTTGTTTTTGCTCTCTATAAGTAATGAGCTCGGCCTACAAATCCTTTTCTACATGGTTTTAAGAGCTGTTATGAAGTATTGGATGTTCTTGATGTAGATAAAAAGTATAAAACACATAATAGCTTTTACATTTACAACTTTGAGCTGAGTATCAATTTAGGCATGTTAATGTACGATAATATATTCTTTTTTATATTCATAGGCAGTCGCAGTTCAGAAGGAGACTCACAAGTGACGGTGTGGTGATAGGTTTGATCGTCACAAATGTGGCTGTGTTTCTACTATGGAGAGTTGCTGATCGTAAGTTCATGATGCAGAACTTCATGGTGAGGTATTCATGGTTATGTTGTTTGTATTTGAACATCATGACATAATCCTTTTTATGAGTATGGGTTCGTTTTTTACTGTTCTAATTATTTCATCGGCGCAGGTACAATTGGACAACTTTCAAAGTGGGCGGATCCATACTATGATAACTGCTGCTTTCAGTCATAAAGACGTTGGACATATTGTCTCAAATATGATTGGCCTTTATTTCTTTGGGAAGAGTGTAAGTTCACATGCCTTAGAATTTGGGTTACCATCTTAAAATGGCCACCTCATTAAAAAAGTTTTATATTATCGCTACCATTTTATTTTTTCCTCACAAAATAGCCAAGAAACTGCAAGTCAACGCCACAAGACACTTTTTCTTACGGTCCTGCAAACTACGGCTTTGGCTTGCTTTTTGTGCATCAATCCATGTCCTTGCAGTGACTCAATTTGCAGTAGGCCAACTTTTCATCTGGGTGCGTCAGAAACTGCAAGTTCTTAGCTGTTTTGTGAGAAAAGTTTGGAGGTGGCTAAAAGGTAAACCTTTTTTCCACATGTGGTTATTTATGATGATAACCCCTTAGAATTCCAATGAGATTGTCGCCCTTTCTTGTTTCCTACTTTAGATAGTATTTCTCTCTATCACACACTTTTCACAAGCCAGGGGTCTTCACAGAAACAACTGTTCTACTCTTTGAGGTAGAGATCAAGTCTGCATACATCTTACCCTCCTTTGACCCAGTTCCCATCGGGACTCTTGGTGGGATGTACTGGGTTCATTTGGTTTGGTTTGGTTTGGTTTATCGTAGCTAATATATAGGATCATAATAAATAGGAGATTAATATTCATAAGTTTACTATTCGCAAAGATTTTGGTGTTTAAATCTTTATTGAAGGTTGTTGACGACATGAGTTTAGTGATCTTCCAAACTATGCCATGATTTATAGTGTTTCTATGAAAGATCATTTCTTTGTATGCTAGCATCTCCGTAACTTCTGTTTTATTTTTCTTCTTAACTCTTAATTAGAAACATGGACCCCATCAAGTTTCAGCATCGTGTCGACCACTTGTTTGCCTTTTTCGGTAACACTTTCGTTTTCTTTTTACATTTTGTTGCAATGTAAACGGAGTTTGTGACTTGTTTTGGCAACAAAAGGAAAACATGTATGGCAAAATTGGTTTCCTTTTTCAAAAAGAAGAAAGTTCAAAATCAAAAATAGAGTTGAAAGCTAAACTCATGAAAGTCAAATAGTCAACACATGTCTTTTTGTAAACAACGGAAACATCAAAATCAAGTTTACAATTTATACCTGTCGTTGACAAAATTCTGTAAGAGGGCATTTGGTCTGATGGAATGGCTTTAATGGATTTCGTGGAAGGATTTGGAATCTTTGGTGTTTGGTTTGTAGGATTTGGAATGGAACTGAATTTCATTCTTTATAAATATTTATAAAAATAATTAAATTGCCTTTTTATTAATTGATTATTAGAGAACAAATGTTTTTAACATATTTAAAACATTATTACATACAAATCCTAAGAAATACGTGAAATACCAACCACCCCCGTGAGATTTCCAGTCTGGGAAATCCACCAAACCAAACATGGGATTGGAATGAAATTCAATTCCAAATCCAATCCAGTCCTGCAAACCAAATGGGACCTAAATTGATTTGGTTTTTTGAAACAAGTAAACGTTTTCCAAAACATCATTTTACTTTTTTCAGCTTCCTCTTTTTTAAAAAGTAAACCAAACTAGCCCAATATATCCTACTCAGATGAGGGGTCTGGTGTGGGGTGTACACAGACTTGACCTCTACTACTTCAAAGAGTAGAGCACCTGTATTGATGCAGAAGGGTGTATGAGAAATATTTTTGACCCAAAAACGGAGAACGAAAGCGTTGCAAAATGAGACCTATGAAATGGAAATACTTCATGGGTTTGGTTGCTTGTTTTGTCTTAAGAGTTATTAACGGTAGGCTAGTAATGCAAGAACTGGTTCGTGGCTACAGCATCTTCACGATTTTGTTTACTTGTCGTTTTTTTTGCTGCTTTGTTCGACAGATTGGACAAAATTTTGGCCCTGAATTTCTGCTGAAGCTGTATCTAGCTGGGGCTTTTGTTGGTTCGGCTTTCTACTTGCTACACCATGCCTTTCTGGCCTCATCATCAAAGGTACAACGCTCCCAACAGTTTTAAGAATTAATCTCACAGTGGCCGACGTTAGTCCCTAATAACATTGGCACATATTGATTATCATACGATTGCCTCCATCCCCCCTTTTTTTAATAACTTCATTATAAACTGGCGACCTATGGGGAGAAGTCCCACGGCCTAGCATCTATTTGCCGGTTTGAGTCTGGCTGTTATCTTCAGAACCCCATGGGATTAGTTGAGGCAGGGGCGGACCCGCTGTACCACCGCTTCGTTCCTCCATTGTAGTGTAAAAACTTGTAGGGTCGTGAAAGGTGCCACCATATCATTTTGTTCTGTGCAACCGTATTTACTTTTTGGAACTACAGTGATGACACAAGTTTCCGTTGGTAGAGTTGGTTTGCATGACTTTTCTCCCTCCCCAGATGCGGGTTCGAATCCCATTTGTGTCACTTTCTTTAGTTTTTCTTCTCTTTTTAATTTCAAATTTATTATGTTTCTGAAATTTTTTGCAACAAAAGACTCAAATGCAGAACCTCATATACGAAAAGCAAAGAACTAACCAATAGATCGATGATGATTTTATGAAAAATATCCATATCTTTGTTCCTTATAGTCAAATGGTGCCACCACTTGAAAAAAATTCTAGGTCCGGCTTTGAGTCAGTGGCGGACTTGCTATGTAAAAGGTGGGGGGAAGGACCCCCATTAAAAAATAAAGAAAAGGAATTTTCCTAGGTTAACAGCCATCTTTTTACTTTTTTACCATGGTTCTCCCTAGTAATTTCTTGTTAGGGCCCCCACCAATCAAAGAAAGTACCTCGAAATCAACCAAAAAAAAGGGAAAAAGTCCCTCAAAATCACCCAAAAAAACTTCAAAAATCTCTCGGAACAGTGGAATTAGGCTAAAAACACATCGGGCGACTTTGTGGGCCTTTAATCTACCTTAGAGGTGCCCCCACTAGGCAAAAATCCTGGATCCGCCACTGCTCTGAGTCGAGGGTGCGCGCAATCTGACCCGGACACCACGGTTACGAAAAAAGGAACTTCGTTACAAATGGCACACCCAAGATGCATCTGGTTATCTGCACAATGTGGCTATCTTTGATAGATAACCATGTCTTCAAAGTTGATGGGTATTTGTTACATTCATCATTTTTGAATTTCACATTATTTGCAGAATTTGGGTATTCTCGATATACCTTGTATCCCACATGTATTGATGCATTTTGTTATTTGTTTGCTAATTACAGGACCGACGAATGTTTGAACCTGACCGTTCAAGAGTTCCCGGGCTGGTATGTGTTTCTCTAAAAATTGTTGAGTTGTTAGCACATTCTTGTTTGAAATATAAGGTTCTAAATGGCATAGTGGCGAGGTCAAGCCTCAAGAGCCGCAACGAGGCCAAAGTGTTTCGTCAAGACGTGGCTTAAGGCGGCAAGTTTGTATATAAAATGTATATATATAGATGTTTTCTAGTATGACTCAAATGATATTGAAAGGTTTAAATTCATATAAAAAGGAAAAAATCTCTCTCTCTCGCACCATAACTAGTCTCAAGACGCCATGACGTGCTTCTCGCCTTAAATGCATTATGGCCGTAACCAACAAGAAGGAGACATGCAACACTCAACCGGATAAACAGTGCTCTGAAATCCAATATAGGACAACCTCGCCATACTTTATCATCATGTTATAGTAGCATCAGAGACATTTCTTATGCCATGATATGCCTTTTAGTTATCTGATCATTATATAACTTGCAACTCGGATTTTGTCATTATAGGGAGCAAGTGGTGCGGTGAACGCTATCATGCTGCTTGATATATTGCTTTTCCCAACAAAAACTATATATCTCGAGTTCATCATACCTGTCCCTGCCATCTTACTGGTAAATCAACCTTCGTTTAACTGATATGATCCTAATACAAGGTTAAACCGGCTAGAGTCACCATTCTCACTTACCTTATCGAGTAACATTATTGGCCATCAAAATGGATTGTTGGTAAGCGCCTCTTATCTGTAAGCGCTAACCGGGTAATAGTCTTTCTCCCTCACTCACCGGGTAAGATTCTCAGTCCTTGCAATACTTCTTGACGAGAAAGATTCTCGGTCCTTGCTATACTTCTTGCCGAGTAAGATTCTCGGTCTTTTCATGGTCACTCAATAAGGTAAGTAAGTACCCATTTGTCAGTGACTTAACGAGCTTAATGGGACTCAGCTTATTCGGTCAGCTATAAATGAGTGATTGGTAGCGGCTCAATAATATAAAAAATGACTTATTCGGTATTTTTCTAGGGAAAACTTTATGCAGAAAGCCCAAGTTTTTTTTCAAACCTGCCCCTCCCAATTAAAATTTACTCCCCTTCCATCTATGAAGAAACTCTCCCAAACAAAGACTTTCTCAATCTATAAAGAAAAATTAATCCACACAGACAGCTTAATCCATACAGTACTTAATGGAAAACCAAACAAACAACCCCCAAGACTGGCGCTTACCCAGTAAGCGTTTGATAAACAAACTAAGCTTTAAGCATCTTATAACCCTTTGTTTCATGTGATTGTCGCAGGGTATATTTCTAATTGGGCATGATATGATGAGAATATTAGAGGTATGATCCTTAATCCGACACGAGCACATCTTTTTACGTCTAGACAATAGTAGATCATATAACGGAACTGGTGTCGACCATGTTTTCTTGTTCGAAATCGAGAAAAATGCCACTTTGATATATGAGGTCAAATGCGGAACTTTTCAAAGTCAAACCTCATACTCTGTTCGTCTCAAAATAAGTGTCTGCCTTCCAATTTTATCCTTGGAATTTCATTACTCCCTCTAAAATTGTCATTTTGTTAACTAAACAAAATGTAACAATTACAAATTTCTAAAACTGTGTTCCCGTTGTTATTGGGACGGAGGAGGGATTTTTGCAACATTGCCTTTCTTGAAAGTCAACCAGTAAGTTGCTTCGGAATAAGGGGATCATGTAACGGTTTATGTGCGGAATTCAAAGTCGGGTTCTTTTGATATGTATAACCGAACTATTATGATCTACGGTTTCAGGGAGATAGTCAAATTTCTGGATCTGCTCACTTAGGTGGTGCTGCGGTTGCCGCGATAGCGTGGGCACGGCTTAGGAAGGGGCGTTTCTGAATTCTTTTCATCGACGAACTTTAACGCCTGTTTGGGTCCATAAAAGACTAGTGTAAAAACCTTTGGCTGTTTAAATCATGCTACTTTCTACATAACAAATTGTTCATGGCGGAACCGAACGGTCCGATAACAAAAGGATCATTGGCCTAGTGGTACCTGGTTTACCGGTAGAGTCCAATCTTCCAGAAGGTAAAAGTGTTCAAAACTTAACGAAAGTGAAGAATGTGGGTGGGTGTTTGATGTATATTTAGGGAGTGTTTGGGATTGCTTATTTAAAACAAGTCATGTTTTTCTACAAAAGTCCTTATTAACTTATTATAAGTTAGAAGGGTTTAACTTCTTCAAAAACTTCTTATTGTCGGTTTGGCACTGGTATAAGCTGTTTATCCAAACACTCAAAAATGTTTATTATCGGTGTCATACCGGAATAAGTCAATAAGTTGTTTCTATAAACAATCTCAAACATCCCCTTAATATTAGAGTAAATTACAAATTTGGTCCATGTGGTTCATACATATTACTTATATTGGTCCCAAAATCAAAATAAGTACAAAGATGGAACTCGTGGTTTACATTTTTGCACGTCTCTTAAAAAAATTGTTTAGTCGGTTAAATAAGGAGGTATTTTAGTATTTTTCGTGTTTTGTTGTCTGTCGTATTTTGCGTTTTTGTGTGTGTATATATACACACACACTTGCGTATACATACGCATAAATATCACAATGTTGTCGTCGTCCCAAACACCCCCTCAACCGCCTTTGTACCCAACCGTCCTCCATCACTGTTCACAACCCATCTCCATCCACCAACACCCAACTGCAAATCACATAGTCAACTTGTAATTTCGAAACTGTAAGAATTAAAAGTGTTATTTTAGACAAATCACAAGGACCAAGTTTGTAGTTTACTCTGTAATATAATATATATATTTTTTTTATCTTTTATAGGATAAGAAAATGAAAAAGACTAAAATACCCTTTAGATTGAGTTGATGGATTTTTTATACTTTCCTTGGTGGCATGCTCGGGGCATGTAAAGATGTAAACCACGAGTCCCGTCTTTATACTTTTTTTTTATTTTGAGACTAATATGGATAAAAGGTGTGAACGTAGAGACCAAATTTTGCAATTTACTCTTAATATTATCTACTTATAAAAAGAATGGCAAATTGCATGAAAAAATAACGTACTTTAACTTGATTCCTATTTTCGGTAACGTACTTTCAAAACTTTCATTTTGGTATCTAAGATGTAAATTTTTAAATATTTAAATGCTCGAGTAACTGATTGAAACATTAACCGATTATCATACTGATGTGATTATAAAAGATGTGAAAATAGAGACCAAGCTCCTAGCTTTAGCAGGGTTTCCTTTGCTTCACATATCATCACCAAACTTATGCTCCAAATATTCAAGAATTATATAGTTTTTTTAAATTATATTTAATTTCAACAGTTTTTCAGTTTGAAAAATGTTATTTAAATATTTCATATATTTAATAATATATTATTTCTTTCTCTTAAAATTTAATTTTCAAAATTTTTATTAATAAGAATATAAATAAAAAATATATTTCTTTTTTATAGGATTCATCAAATTTAAAAAATTTCACTCTTTCTATTACTTTTTATATTTTAAAGAAAACTTTAAATAATTTATTTATGTTCATTTTACTTGATAAACGTTTGTTTTAGTATACACGACATCAATTATTTTGATGTTATATTTTCTTATACAATCAAAATTACAGTATAACTTAACAACTTGTAATTCATGTCATTAATAGTTAAAGAGTCTTTGATTTAACGGTATGTGAGTCATTGGCCTCCTAGGAGGTCAAGGGTTCAAACCTCATCAAAAGTGAGGAAGGTGTGTAAGTTTAATTGTTCTATTTACCATATACAAATATATATACTTAAAAAAAAATATCCACTAATTACCAAACTAAATAGTTAAGAAATAGAAAAAATTGAACGTTACCCAAAAAAAACATCATTACATTACAAAATAACTCGTACAAATTTGCTGCCTTTGCATCGATTTTTGGCTTTTTGTGGGATTACAAACTTTCCCAAAACTTTGTAACGTGATCTTTACTAGAAGTGCAGGGAAATTCTTCTAAGTAATGGATTGCAAAACTCAACAAATATAATAAGATTTAGGGTATGTTTGTTAACATTTTAATATATTTAATAGGACTTACAGCTTATTTAATCAGTTATATATGATTGTTTCACTGTGGCTTAATTATATAGAAAATGGTTTATTCAGTAAACTTCTAAGAAAGAGCTTTATGTAAAAAATCAAGTTTTTTTTTTGAACTTGTCACTTCCAATTAAAAACATGTTCCTTTCATCTATAAAAAAAACTTCAAAATTCATACAGTTAAATTAATCCATACAGACAGTTTTATTCGTACTTGACTTAATGGAAAACCAACCAAACAACCTCTTATTCATGTTCGGTCGTTTGTTCAAGTTTAACCAAACAAACGAACACATGAACAAAAATCAAATTTTCTTCATTAGAATTCATTCGTTAAGATGTTAAAAAGAAACTAAATGAACCCACAATCACCATCTAACGTGAGATAACTAGTTAACTATTAGAAGAATGAATAAACAACTAATCTGCCTACATAAACAAGCAAACGTTAATGACTCAATTACCAAACGGTCAGAGACGTAAATGAATGAACAAAACCATCGTTCGTTTTCACTTGTTTAATAACTGAACCAAAAGTCTTGTTTGTGTTCGTTACTTTTTAAATAAACTAACTTCCCGTCAAACAGTTTGCTGAACGTTCCAGTTCGTTCGTTTAAAGCTAACTTCAGTCGATATCCAAGAATTTCAATACCACCGTTAATTGTTGCATGCAAACTAGAGGAATCATATGACTTGTAATTATGATATGCAAAAGTAGAGCATGTAAAATCACATGCGATTATGCACACCCTTGCATTGACCGTGTTCCGTAATGACATGCGATTTCAGTGCAAAAATCACATGTGATTACACACACTTGCCTAGACCGTGTTCGTTAATCGCATGTGATTTCTGTGCAAAATGGCATGTGATTTTTCTGTTCTCTTGTTTTCATATTTTGACCGTATTCTCGTTTTTTCATATTTTGGCACTGTTCTCGTTTGATAAAGGTGATATAACATAGTTTGCATGCAACAATTATCAACCATATGACTCTTCCTGGAAAGAGAGATCCTTCTCATTAGAACACACATTCACTTACATGAATGAACTTGGCTTCTCTTCTGTAGTTGAAGAAAATGAAAGCAGAATATTTTGATCTGCTGCAAATTTCATAAAAAAATCAGAGAATAGGCATTATAACTGCCATTCTGCCAAATTAGGAACAAATAGATATATTATATATGACAATTTTAAAGTCAAAAGTTGTCACGAGATGACAACGATTTCTTGAAACCATACCCGGGATCCAAACCGACAGCACACAGTACTTGATTCATATATTTTACAACAACGATATCAGTTGCTACCGCCACCAAAAAGGTAACCCAAGGAAGACCCGCCCCCTGGAGCAGCATGAACCTTGGTCGAAGGACGATCCTGATCAAGAATGTAAAAGAAAATGTTTAACAGTTTTCTAAAACTTTATCGGTATTTGTCCTTTTCTCTTCGTTACACTTTTCACAAGGTTGGGGTTTTCACAAAAATAATTGCTCTACTATTTGGGGTAGAAATCAAGTTTTCATACATCTTACCCCTCCTCAGATCCCACCTCCAGGGGTATATTAGGTTCCTTTTGTTTGGTTTAAATATGTGGAACAACGTTAGATTACTCTGCAAAAGAGTCCTTGAGGAAAGAAGCGGTTCCAACATATATAAAAGAGAGATCGTATCCAAGTGAAAGTGATGTGGGAGTCTAAGAGTCGAAGGTTATATATGAGCAAAGATGTCAAAGAGTGTTGAGTCATGGGCAAAGATGCCCCCGATGGTAGATGTTGACTCTAATACCATGTGAGAATATGTGGAACCCTGTTAGATTACTTTCCAAAAGAGCATTTTAAAAGAAAAGAGGGGTTCCAACATATATTGGAGAGAAATTGTCCAAATCTAGCCGATGTGACTCTAACAAGATCAACATAGACGATAAACCAAGTACAAAGAGAAGGAGATTAGACCAATAAGTATGCTAGTATTCAGACTCATATGGTAAATGTTCCTCTTCTATCTTTATCATTATTTTCTTGTTTTTGGTTGATGATGCATTATGTTCTAATCTTATATGCTACATATTTAGAACCTCCTTTGTATAAAAGTTTGAGGTTGTAAATTAATAAATAAGTAAGTTCAGTTGTGTAAAAGTTAAAGATGCAACCATCTCAAACTGAAGTTTAATAAGATCATACCGTGAGGAAGTTGCCGGTATTCTGACCATCAGCTCGGGTATAGTTGTTAAGCTTGCTACTCTGGATGCCAGCTGGAATCTGTTTTGCAATATCCGGTGGAGTTATAGCAGCCGCGGGTTTAGGAGGTGGCTCGGTAGTAGCAGTAACATGGACCTGACCCAGAGGAGCCAGGGTTGGAGCCTCTGCATTGCCTGTGGACACCGTGGTGGGCTTCGGCTCACCTCCACTTCCAAAAAGGTAGTTGAGTGAACTTTGTCCGCCACCACTACTGACACCACGGCCCATATTTGTAAGTTCACCCTGTTACAATAGCGGATCCGGGAATTTTGGTAATGGGGGTCAGAATTCAAGAATTTATAAATTTTAGGGGGTCAAAAGAATATATATTCATAAAAAATCACATTTTGAAAATTTATGGGGGTCACTCCCAACTCTTGGGCATAGATACCAATCCTTCCCTGTTACCAGGGAAATAAAATAAACCGTAGTAAGCTCAGCAATCAAGAACAAACCAAACCCACTCAAAAAGAGGGTTGAGATGTACACAGACTTGACCTCTATCTTAAAGAGTAGAAGCGGTTGTTTCCTTGAAGACCCTCGGCTTGGGCAAGAATGTCAGCAATCAACAACCATGATTGCAATTTAGCAGATAGTTTGAAGTTTAGAGTGTAATAATGCTAGTAGATAGAAATAGATCCAATGCAAATGAAGAGAATGTCAAATGAGTGCTTGGGCAAGAATGTCAGCAATCAACAACCATGATAGCTCAATCGCATTTTAATCTGGAAACATGACCCTGTCATTAACACACTCGTATACTTGTGGTTTGCTGTTAAATATTCACTCTTGGATCATCCAAGTGTGAACTAGATTTGTCAATATTGCATTGCAATGTAGGGCCTGAAACAGTTCTATCCAACACGAAATCCGAAGGATCTACCACTTTTGTTATGTATGATTGTTGTTGATCGTTTCTTGTTAGGTGCTATTACTGTGGATAATTTTTGACTTGTGATTCGTGCATGGACGTGATATCTGGCATTGTCCGCATTACATGGGGCAAGTTTTATCGTGTTACGAGTACTGGAATCAGACCGTCATGTATATGTCAATCTATAGGAAACCAAATAGCTTTTATGCCATTAAGCCATATGAGGATGCTAAACACACGCGCTCAAGAATACAATTAGATGATTGGTTTTATCACCAAGTTCAACATTGAAAACCCAAAACTAATACAACATACATAAAGTGCAAAGAGTTTCCTTGTACATGCACATCAAAAGATTGTAAATCAACTGTATATCAAAGGTTCGATTTTGGGTACAGGGGTTTAACTTGAACACGCATTATAAACATTATAAACTTGAGGGTTATATCAAACATGATTTTGAATTAACAAACAAATAAACCTTAATATATATTCAAGCTAAGCTTGTTCACCTGAGGAACCTACCTTGATCCAAGAGCATTTCCAACCGAACTGCATATTAGAGATTTTGCCAGAGAGGAAGCTCCAACCATACAGCAAAAAGAACGGCAAATAGCCATGGAGGTTCACCTACAATGACTCTAGGGTATTCATGGTCACTCAGGGATTTGTCGGTGAGTGTAAGCTGGCGGAAACCCACGGTTACCCATAAAAAACTACAAATTGCCGGAGATGGGAGAGCAACTGTTGGAGTAGAAGCAACTTTTGGTGCTAATGGCCCCAACAATTTGGGTTTTTTGTGCCAGGGTTGGAGAAGGTCTAAACAGGTTGGATGATCATAGCATCCAAAATGAAGAAAATGGGGATTTTGGGCAATCTTTTACTCCAAAAAAGAGAAAGCAAGAGAGGGAGTAAATTTCTCCAAATTTAGAGAACTCCCAAAAATGATTGCGATAAGTGAGAAATAATATTTCATTCTACTCTAATAAGATACGTTGAAATTAAATGTTTCGGAGAAATAATCTTTTATTAAATGTATGGAATATTTTAATAATATAACTAATGGTTAAATCTCTAAACAGAAGAAGTTGTTTGAATTGAATACAATTTTCTTTTTGGAGATTTTGAATTTTAATTCTTCATTTTGGAAAAAAAATTGGAGATGCTCTTATGCAATTCTAATTGACTAATCGTCTGCAAATATATTAGTTTTTAACCATATCATCTATTTTCATCTCCATCTTTCAATGTCAAAATCGTCTAGATGTTAACAGTTGTCTTGCATTACAATCTTGGCAAGCTCTCACTACTGCGTGATGGAAAGCTCATAGTTTCTTCTCCTAATTCAAACTACGGGCGAAATTATTTATTCCTCGAAAACTGAAGGATCCGTTCGAGAATAAACAAAATCGAAAATCAGTTCTAAAATACTAAAACATCATCAAACAAGTAGCATTTTAAACATAAAGAAAACGAAAAGATCGACAGATGCATGACAGATTTCCACTCCAATATTTATAACACTACAAGTTTGCTCATCATAATGCGAACAAACACGAATCACATACTAAAAATGTCAGATCTCAGCACGAATCGCAACTCAAAAGTTATAGCATGTAACAAAAGCGATCAATCATACAGAACACCGATGGTAGATTCTTCTTCGATTAATCGACAAAATTATGGATCAGCAACAAGAAGTGAGCAGCGAAATCGGAATTGTAGAGAGAATGGAGAGATCGCTACTTACCTGCAGTGTAGTTTTGGGATCAGATCTGGAGCGGAGCGAAGATCGAGGGGGAGAATCAGTTTCCAAATGGCACCAAAAATGGTAGGAATAAATAATTGAGTTTTTTAATTGGAAGCAGAAAACTTTTAAAGTAAGGTATGTCGACAGGCAACAGATCAAAAATAGATAACCTTTTATACAGTCCCGTTCCTGATACTTTTTTAGGTTTTGGGCGAAATATAAAAAGGGCTCTTGATAAGTATGATATTTTTTTAATATATTGTTTTTATCATCAGAAATAATGTTGAATTCATATAAAATCGTTTTTCAAAATATTCCTGAACGCATAATCAATCAGTATTCATTTCTAAATTAATATTATCTACTAGAACATTTTTATGTAGTATCAGTAATTTGTTTCATCATCAAAAACATCTTATGATATACTTTTGGTACATAGAATGATATCATTTGGAGTCACAAAGTCGATTTTTCTGATTTTCGAGTGACACTATGTAAATCAATGTAAATAGGTTGGTTTTCCATGTCATCTCATGTTAATATTTTTAACATCATTTTAAACATTTATATTATGTTTTCGAATTTGGGAAGATTAACACCATTTTAAACTTTTATACTATGCTTTCGAATTTGGGATGATTAACACCGTTTTAAACTTTTGTATTATGTTTTTGAATTTGGGAAGGAAATAAAAAATGAGAAAAGAAAAGAAAAATAAAAGGAAAGAAGAAAAATTAAGTTTTTTATTTGTGTTTTTAATAGAGAAGAGAGGAAGGAAAAATAATAAAATAAAAATAAATTTTGATATAAATTTTTTCCTTTTCTTTTTCTACCCTTTCTCTAAAAAATATCGAGAACATAATATTTTTCTTTCACCATTACTTTCCTTTATTTCCTATGTAAAAGAAGAATCAAGAACATAGAGTTAGGGTTAAAACAAACTTTTATGGAATCATCAATTATATAAATTAAAAAACTCATGTTGGTAATAGTTTGAAATCTTATTCTTCTTTTAKAGATAGAATAGTACATAAGATTTATACACTAAATATTAGATAATAAAGAACAACTATGAAAAAACAATTATAGTTTTATTATTCTAAATATAGATATGAGTTGTACCGTCTTATATAGTTGGTAATTTTTTCAAAAGATGGGGGTTTTGTTAGCTAATAACAAAAAAAATCTATCATATTCTAATATAAAAATAGAATCACGCGAGAATGGAACAATCAAAGGAGTCGATGGGAGATAAATTATGGAGAATATATCAAAGTTTTTCGAAACAAGTAGTTTTAGACGTCAGTTTTAGATCAAAAAACTTAGAAAAATATTAAACAATATTATATAATGAACGACAGATTAACATATTTATGTATTTTTTTCTCCAATATATTTAATTCATACATGTTTGGGTCTTTAGTAGTTAATGTAGTATAAAAATATTTTCTTGTCATATTAGATACTAATTTTTTACTTGTCTTATATTTACTAATTTTTTTGAACTACTATTATATATATTAAAAAATTGGGCCCTTAATTTTTATGGGCCCTGGACGTACGTCCGGCCCGCCCTCCCCCAAGGACGGCCTTGCTTTTATACATGCACCGGTTGAAATTTTACAGCAAAATACTGTGAATGTTTTTTTTAATGTTTTTGTTATGAAAATTCGGCTTTTTTTACCTTCACAACATTTTGTTGTGAAGTTTCAAGTATAAAAATGTTGTCTCACATGTTCCATGAAAACTAGGGATGTGCAAAACCCGAATTATCCAAAATTTGAACCCAAACCCGAACCGGAAATAAGGTATTTATGTAAGACCTGAATGCCTTGAAATCCGAAACCGAATTTTTGGGGAAAATTCGGGCTCGGGTTGGGTTATATTTTTGACCATCCGATCAGTCCGAAAACCCAAAATATATATATACATATATATTTTAAATATTATATAAATATACTTATTTATCTAATTATCTTTTGAAAATTCTAAAAATCTTAGTCGGTCGTGTTTTTTTCAAATTTCTAAGCATATTATCGATTTATCAATTCTCTAAATCGATTTAATTCATTGTTAAAATCGATTGAATATATATTTTTTGCATTATAACTAAACCCGAACCCGGTTGACCTCGACCGAACCTGAACAATCTGAAATCCAAAATCCAAAAATTGAGGCTTGATTTCCATATTCGAAATCCGATTGGGTTTTTGATTTCCCACCCGCACCTGTTCGACCCGCCCGGTACACATCCCTAACGAAAGCAGTCTTGTCTCATGTGAACTCCACCCTTATTGACAATTCAATATTTTTTATTATTTTTTATAAAAAATTATGAGTAAATATAAAGATACTGATTTTTATTCTTATGGTTTTAAAATTATAAATTTTGTCTTTAAAGTTTATAACTTATTGTTGTTTTCGTCCAACCACTAAATTTATTAAAAACTCTCCACTAATTTATGTGTATTTTTTTTTTTTTTTTGATTTACTAAATTTAATTTTTGTTTCTTTTAATATTTAAGTTATGTTAATATAATAAAACTATATATTTTTCAATAAATTATATTAATTTGTTATTTTTCATGATAAAATAATTAAATATTGTTAATATAATTAGTTTTTTTATTAACCTGGATATCTAACTCGCTATGTGAGCCGACTAATCCCAGGACGACCACCTGCTTTGCAGATAGCCCGAAGTCACCGCATTTGAATCTTCGTGGCCACAAGGGGATTTTTATTTCTCATTGGATTTGAACCTGGGAGCTCATGGTACTTTTGACATTTGGAGCCAAGTTCAAACCAATCAGGCACCACCCTTGTGGTTAATTTTTTTTAATCATTATAATTTCTAGTTTCTTATGAGTTTGATTTATGTCACTAAATCGTTTAGGTGCAAGTCGTTTCGTACCTCTCACATAAAAGTATTTTAATTTTTTTTAGGATTATATTTTTCAAAGGTACGAACAATTAACTATTTTTAGGTTATCTGTTTTGTTTTTAAATTGTAAAACAACAATGCATTGTTTCACCTTATGAAACGACAGTTTGACATTTAACATTAGCGATATTATGTTGTTTTACAATATGAAATAACACTTTAGTGTTTCATTTTCATTTTCATTTTCAATTTTATTTTTACGTATTTAACATAGTCAAACTTATTTTATAAAAATGTATGTTTTTCTATATGTTACCGGTAAATAATGTATATGCGAGAAAATAAATGAGTGAAAATTAAATTAATAATATGATAAACTAATGAAATATAAAAGATTATTATCAATTAATGAAAATTGTAATATCTTATCAT